AAAAAAAGTTTTATCAGACGCATTAAAAATTCATCCATACAAAATGAAGAATAAACCATCGCGATTCTTTTGAGATATAAAACTTCTAGAAATGTTAAAAACTGAAAGAGGGGATACATTTTTTCTGTAAAACATCTTGAAAATTGGCATTTTTTGGAATATTTTCTCCCGGAAAAGGACCATACAGGGTTCTATAGCAAATAATTGATTTTTTAAAAGTCATTTGAATCTTCTTGAATCTCCACAGGTGATTCGCGAACAATCCGTTACGGACGCTCCGCGTTCGCGCGCGGTTGAAATAGGAACCGCATACGGACCGTACGCGAACCGTTTTCAGTAAATAGCAGTACATTATTCGGATTGATCCGTATCCTTATTCGGATTGATCCGTAATCAAATGTTTTATTGAGTTCGCAAACGGATCCGTTTGGTCATGATTCGCAATCGGATCGGATACGGAGCTCGCGAACGGACAGGATACGGATCAATCCGAATAATTTACTGCTATTTACTGAAAACGGTTCGCGTGCGGTCCGTATGCGGTTCCTATTTCAACCGCGCGCGAACGCGAAGCGTCCGTAACGAACCCGTTCGCATTTTACCTGTGTCCACGAAACCAGCTAAAAAACCTTAAAAATACGGCTTTAGACTTGCAATTGTGATCGCGCCAAATTTTTTTCTGTAGATCAAAAATAAATTTGCAGTTCGTAACTGTTCTGTGCGTCCGTTACATGGGAGACCGTCCGTTACATGTATGTTTAAGACGTTCTATCAAAGTTTAAAAAACTGGGTGAACTTCTTTGGTATATTAAACAGTAAAAAAACATTTTTCAAGTCCAAAGGTGAGGAAGCTAAACTATTGTTAGTAAAGAGTTTCAAGTCTTCTTTATATAGTGAAGACCTTTTTTAATTTAGATCATCAACCAAGTCAAAATTGACGTGCAAATCCTCCCCCTTCTTAAGATCTTCACCACCCCCTACAACCTTTCGGAATCTCCTTAAAATGCCACGTCACCAAAAATAAGCACCTGTCCTCTTCCCTCATCTAACTAATCTCCAATTGTAGTACGTCAACGATACACTTGTGCTTAAACTTTAATCTACCAATCAAATTAAAATTTTCAGCCGTTTAATAATTTTTCAAATCGATCTGATTCTGGTGACACCAGAAAGTGGACAAATTGAACAAGTGTCATATTTAGAGTATAGATTTTTTGGGCAAAGCAAAATTTGTGGTCTTTGGGACTTCCTAGTTGGGGAAGCAGAAACGTGGAGGAGCCTATAGAGCTTTTAATGAAATTCAACTGCTTCTCTATCTGTTTTTTGCACAGACTCCCACTGGGTAATCCCTAAAATCTTTTGATTCCGAAAAAAAAACGTGTCAATGTCAACAAAAATAAAAACTCGACAACAGCACCAAAATTAGGCGAAATGTCAAAACTCCAAGGGGCTCCAGAATTTTCCCCTGGATTCTTTGAATCAGTCGGGCAGAAAATTGAAAAAGACGTTCGACAGAAGCAGGGGAGATTTTTTTTTGAAGAAAGAGGTCAATGAGCAAGTTTTTCCAGGAAAATAGTTAGACGAGGAGGTCAGAAATTTTTCAGATTTTCAGATCAAGGATTAGAGATGTAGATGTGGGGTGGTGGAAAAACATATAGCCGTGACGTGGATTTCGAATGGAAACTGATATTTTGATAACGGATGATAGAAATGATCTGCAAAAACTATACAATATGAAAAATTCTAGAAGATTTGGAGGTCAGCTGAAAGATATTATGCTTTTTGGACCTACTGTTGTATCAGAAAAGAAAATATCTAGGGGTCTGAATAAAAAACAAACTGCAAAAAATAAAACAACAGAAAATAAAAAACAAATCTGGTTTTTTAATCGTTTGGTTTTTTAATCGTTTGGTTTTGAATCCACTAGCAGACTTCTGGCCGGATATTTTGGTCCTTGGAATTTTTTAGGTCCTTAGATTTTTCTTTGGGTACTGTCCTTGTAAGATTAAAAACTGAAAATGGATGAAAATCTTTTAAAAGTTAAAAGGGCCAAAAAATTCTAAGGACCAAAACACCTCGAAAAATAGGCTCTAGTTAGATTACGAGCATAAACTCTTTTTTCTCCTACTCATCTCTTCCCCATCCATTTTTCAAATTGAATTCAAGTTTCACACAAAACGACTACAGACGTTAAAATGAGAAAAACAATGGGGAACAAGATTTCTGATGGAGGAAAAGAGCAGTGAGCACTCAT